CTACACATCCTGCAGGTGAATTGCATTTGGCCTTTGATGACGCATTTTGCCCATGTTATTCTGTCTAATCCGACTCCGCAGGATCTGGGCTTTGTGATCCCTAACTCACACAGGGTAGAGACGCGAGACGGAGATATGAGAATCTCCTGAATCCAGGACCCAGAGGAAGCTCGGCTCGGGAGGGGTCATGGAGAGGGGACATGCAGAGGCCTGATCTGGACAGAGGGGCCCGTCCGGGGTGGGGGACTGATGCTGCCCAGGCGCTCAGTCCTGTCTGCCTCTTCGCGGCCCCGTGGACTGTAGCCTGCCATACTCCTCTATCCAAGGAACTTGCCAAGCAAGAATACTGGAGTGGGTTGTCATTTCCCACTCCAGGGGATCTACCCCACCCAGGGACTGAACTCTGGTCTCCTGTGTTGGCAGGTGGATGCTTTACCACTGAGCCACCGTCTGGGAGCCTCATCCTGGATGAGAGGGACGTGCAATGTCCAGACTCAGACAACGGGGCCTCTTGTTGATTAGCATGATCATCCCAGCCCCCGTGCCTGATTCCCAGAGCAGGGTTCGCTGTCTCTCCATTAGACCTGAGGATTTCTTCTTTCTGTGTTGATTCCCCTTCTCAAGTTCTGCTCCCTTCTCACAAGACTGAAAAGGACGCACTGACTCCAACTAACATTTCTACAGGTGAGATCTTGGTCATGTGATGCTCACTAACAAAGTAACCAGATAATTTACCAGCTCTGCATGGGTTAGCACCACCCATCTGAGCAATAGACTCAAAACTGCCAGACAAACAACTGTCATTTGATTCAATCTGGGAGAACCTCCGCACATAAAAGAAACTCATGTAATCCTGTTGGACTGTGCATGAGACTTGAATTAAAGTAGGACATCTCAGAAAAATAGATAAATAAGCTACCTTCAAAATTGTAGGTCAGAGCATATCAGAGAGAACCCTAAGAGGGGCAACCACTGATGATGCCTCAAATGCCTTCCTTGCTAACGATGGTTTCTGAGAGCAGTGTCCTCCACATCTCAGTGCCATGTTCTGAGATGGAATTCTCTGGAAAACAAGTCAAGTTAGTGTTTATCAGGGGATACTGACTGAGAGTCAGAGTTAGACGACATAGGATTTCTACAATATTTATTTGACAATCAAATTTATGTACATTTGTCAAGGAGGGAGTAAAGTACTTGTTTATCTCTTCAGATTAAAAAAAAAATGACTTCTTGGAGAAGACTCTTGAGTGTCCCTTGCACTACAAGGAGATCCAACTGGTCTGTCCTAAAGGAAATCAGGCCTGAATATTTATTAAAAGGATTGATGCTGAAGCTGAAACTCCAACACTTTGACCACCTGATGTGAAAAATTGACTCATTGGAAAAGACCCCGATGCTGGGAAAGATTGAAGGCAGGAGGAGAAGGGGACAACAGAGGATGAGATGGTTGGATGGCATCACTGACTCAATGGACATGAGTTTGAGTAAGCTCTGGGAGCTGGTGATGGACAGGGAAGCCTGGCGTGCTGCAGTCCATGGGGTCGCAAAGAGTCAGACATGACTGAGCAACTGAACTGAACTGAACTGACCTCAGTTAGGGAGACTCCAGGAGCATCCATCCCTATTCTCCAGGTGGCAGTGACATTGCTTCATCTTCTGCCCCATCCCCCGCAACCCGCATGGCAGGATGATTCAGCAGGATGATTCAGCAGGAACCACAGGCCCTTTCTTCCTTCATTCTGTGTTTGAGTCTTCTAATCAGCAGAATAATGATCCAGCAAAAGATTGTGTGATCTTCCATCTTCAATGCAGATAAAAAAATGTACTTCTTCCCCTAAGCTTGACTTACCAAACAGAGCTGGTGAAGGACTTTGTAATGAGAGAAACCGGGCTCAAGTTCGAAGAGACTGTTTCTTTAATTGTATTGTATTGTAAAGGGCTTTTCCTGGTGTAATTCCTGGAGATAAAAGAGGATCAAGGGCCAAGTAGAATCCAAAGGCGGTTTTCAACTATTTGCATAAAGCATACTGCTAATAGCCCACTATGCAAAGCAACTGGATGGCCACAATCAAGGAGTAAAAAGTAAATGAAATAAACCATGCCTCTTTGGTAAGAAAATTACAAAATTGTGTGTGGAAGGGCTTGAATACAGGGAGGAGTGCAGAACGGGAATGGTTGGTGTTCTCCAGTCACCCTCTGCTCACCCTCTGACCAAGATTCCCCGCACCCCTGGTGGCAGGTCGGGGCCCCTGCCTCAGACTTAATGCAGACATTCACTGACTGCTCTTAGCAACAGCCCTGAAGGCGAAGGAGGAGAGCGGGCAGGACTGAGCAGGAGGCAAGTTGTTTTTTTTTCAATTCGTTTACTTTGATGGGAGCATAATTACTTCACAATACTGTGATGGCTTTTGCCATACATCAGTGTGAATCAGCCATAGGTATACATGTGCCCCCTCCATCCGGAACCCCCCTCCCCACCTTCCTCTGATTTGAGAGAATAGCACTGAAACATAGACATTACCGTATGTAAAACAGATAGTGCGAGTTTGACATGACACAGGGCCCCCAAAGCCGGTGATCTGTGACAACGTGGAGGGGGAGAGAAGGTAAGTGTTAAATGCACTGAGTTTGCAAAAGCAGATGGTAAAGATAGAATGGCCTTTCAGAGATATGCCCCGACTTGAGGGAAAGGGGATGGCCTTTCAGCCCCTTGGGTGAGACTTCTCCCTACAGGGGAATTTCTGAAGATGAACACAGCTGAGTCAACATCTCACATGCATGATGGCCTTGAGATTTTGCTGTACTTGGAGACAGTTTCTCCAGATTCTGGTTAGCCTCAGTTCCTGGGGAGAGATGAAAGAAGGATATTGGTGTGACAAACTAAAGCCTCCAACACGGCAGTGGGTTTAGGATCACAGCTGATCTGTCCACCCACTGGGGACCCAACTGTGCCCTGCTGACAACTTTATATGTTGACATTCTAAGTCCCTTTGTGATGGTATTTGGAGGGGAACTTTTGGAGGTAAATAATTTAGACAAGGTCAGGAGGATGAGGCCCTGTGATGGGATTTGTGAGATGCAAGTTTAATTCCTGAGTCAGGAAGGTCCCCTGGAGAAGAAAATGGTAACCCACTCCAGTATTCTTGCCTGGAAAATCCCATGGACAGAGGAGGCTGGCAGGCTACAGTCCGTGGGGCCACAAAGAGTCGGACAAGACTGAGCAACTGAACAACAGCAACAAGAGTAGAAAACAGAGATCTTGCTTCTTCTCTCTCTCTGCAGCATGTGAGGATAAATTAAGAACCTGATTGTCCACAAGCCAGGGAGAGAAGTCTCACTGTGAAAACCGAATCTGTAGATGTGGTCATAGTGGATGTCCAACCTTTGGAAGCTGAGATTTCCTGTAGCTGAAGCCACTCTGTTAGTGATATTTTATGGTAGCTCAAGCTGACTGATTCATCATCTCTCTCTCCTATTCACTCCATGTTCCTTTCTTTTGAGCTTGCACCTCTAGTAGCTTAGCTGACTTCCTCGAAGTATGACCCACACCTTTGTGCTGGACCAGGCAACTGACTGACCACATGGCCTTCCCAAGTTGTGGCTGCTGTCATTGTCCACCTACCATGAAAACTGGACGTGGACGTTTGCTTATGGAAATGGTAAAATAAATAAATAAATAAATAAAGTAGGTCATGTGAATCCATCCCTAGCAGATATCAATGATCAAAATGAATAAAACAAATAAAACAATCATTGAATACACACACTAGAACTCATCTAATAACTGGAAATGGTCGGGGGGCCAATTTATGACGGCTTCCTTGCTTGAGGGCACTGCCCAGCCCACTCTTCTATGACTGCAGACAATTGTGTGGGGTGGGGGAAGGGTGGGGGGCATAGCTGAGCTTCATCAGCTAAAGATAGCAGCATTCAGAGCTCAGAACTGGGAGAGCAGCTGGAAATTAAAAAAAGGAAATTCTGCCAGTGCAGAAACCACAGGAACGAGACCAAAATTCAGAGCAAAAATTGGCTAGATCCCTGGCTGAGAGCTAAACTATGCAGGAGGGAAAGAGCCCCTCAGCGGGTTTAGCAGGGAGATCAGAGAAGAAAGAGAAATCTCCTCTTGCAAGAGAGCATGGTGCATGGGCCAGATAGCTGAGTCCGATGGGTTCCTTAACCAAGTTCACCCTCTAAGTCAAGGGTAGGAAGTGTGAGGCCTCGGAGCCCAGGGCTCAAGGTCAGCAGAGCTGCTGAGTAAGGATCCCTAGCAGCAAGGAATTCACAGGGATGGTGCGCCTCATGGCTGCCCAAATCCTAGACTAACGATGAAATTTCACTTCAAAAAGGAGGCAGAAAGGTTAAGAAGGGTCCAGTTAAAAAGTCTGCATAAGAAGACTTGAATCTATTCCATACCACATTATACACTGTCATTAGGACCCCCAAAGTGTGTCTCTTTTGCTGGTCAGAATAGATTGTCCTTTCCCCCTGCACCATTAATCAGATCTAAATTGTGTATTTTATACTCAATTCCATAGTGAAAGTGAAAGTCATTTAGTTGTGTCCGATTCTTTGCGACTCCATGAACTGTTCATGGAATTCTCCAGGCCAGAACACTGGAGTGGGTAGCCTTTCCCTTCTCCAGGGGATCTTTGCAACCCAGGGATCAAACCCAGGTCTCCCACCTTTGCAGGTCAATTCTTTACCAACTGAGTTATCAGGGAAGCCCACTCAACTTTATATTACAAAATAAAGATAAAGTCTAGACATTCACCTGGCATCTACAGAGAATCTACTCTGTGCTGTACTAGCATCTCCAATAGAAACACAATGCTAACCACGTACGTAATCTCACATTTTCTAGTAGTCACGTTAGAAAATTTAAAACAAGCAAGTGGACTTATTTTAATATACCTTATTTAACCCAGTATATCCAAACTACTGTCTCTTCGGCATGTAGTAATCGACCTGATGCGTGTCACGCAGACCTCTTTCTGGTCTAGGTCTTATCCCGGGTGCGTTCTGCATTTGCAGTGCCTTTCATCTCAAGAGAAAAGGCAGTCTGTCGGTCACACCAGCCGTATTCCAAGGGTTCTGCCACCACCCCGGAGTCACGGCTACGGTCCTGACGGCACAGAGCTCTGCTGTGATCTCTATGGATGCGTCGGTCCTGCTCCAGGACACTAAAAACAGGCTGGTGAAGATGTCCAAGGCGATGAAGCAAGCAGGACCGGAGACGCCCAGGTGCCGTGGGAGCACACGGGGGGCTGTCTCACTCAGGTTTCCAGGGCTTAGTGACGGGCTGCCTGACGATGCGGCATTGAGGGGGCCTGTTTACAGCAGGTAGAGATGGGAGGCAGCTGGATTCCAGACAGAGGAGACATCGCGTATGAAAACCTACAGAGAGCACATGGGGTGTGTGTGTTTGCGGGCGGAGTGTGTTAGTCTCAGTCGTGTCTGACTCCGCGACCCCAGGGACTGTAGCCCACCAGGCTCCTCTGCCCATGGGGTTCTCCAGGTCAGAGCGCGTGGGGTTTCAGTAGCAGCGGCTTCCTACCAGCCTGTGACCGTGTTGACTGGGTCCAGGGGAGTCCCCGCCACGTTCACACTGCAGGGTGAGCTCTGGTCCAGGGCCGTCAGATTCCACATCCTGCACGTGTCTGCAGAACGTGTGTTCACGTGGGAGCGGACAGGTGAGGCTGGCCATCTGAACCGGCGATGCGGATTCTTGCTCAGGGATGCCATCAAGCTGGGCGTGGCCATGAGGCTGTCCAGGAGCAGTCAGGACCAAGATTTTAGCACAATTGCTTGTTCTTTCCTGTCTTTCTTTTTTTTTTGGCTGTGTGGCTTATGAGATCTCACTTTCCTGACCAGGGACTGAACCCTGGCCTCTGCAGTGGAAGGGTCGAGTCCTAACCACTGGGCCACCAGGGAACCCCCACAGGATATTTTCTTTCCTTTTTTTTTTAAGTGGATAGCAAAGGGACTCAGGCACACATATAGATGTACCCATTCACCCCCAAATCCCCTCCCATCCAGGCTGCCACATAATATTGAGCAGAGTCTCATGTGCCAGGCCTTTGTTGGTTGGTTCTCCATTTTAAATATAGCAGTGACAGTACGTTGTCTTTATTACTCCTCCGAAACGGAAAATACAAGGTACCTAAAACAATTGTTTTATCTGCTTTGACAATATTTTTATAATGTTATAAACACTGAGAGAACAATGACAGGTATTAGACTGCAGTGTGATTTCCCAAGAAATCTTTTATTTACCCTTTGATTAGCAGCCATCCCAGCTGGAGTGTCAGGGCCTCTGAATCCTGGTCTAATTGAAGAAGGTCTGGTGAGCTAATTGGACAGCCATTCCAGCCCACTTATTATAACATATTTTAAAAGTATACAGTAATTGACTAAAATGGAAAAGCATTTTGGAATTCCCTGTGGGATGAACATTGAAGGAGAAATAATCCATTTAGGTCTAGGGGCTCTCGACCTTGAAGGTGACTTAAACCATTTCATAACATAAAACCCCTCAGCTCTTCTTATTTCCTTGAAGATCTTAATGCTGTTTGACTTCAAAATCCTATTAAAAGCCCATTCCATCTACTCATGAATTTCTCCCATTTCCTTAGTTCACAGATGTATGCTTTAATCTGCTTAATAACGGCAAAGAAATAATAATCAGGTGAATGCCTAGTAATTTCATAATGCTAAATAAAACTGTTTTGTGTCTTCTGGAATTATATGCTCATTAAAACCGTCATTGATAAAGGGTTTTGCTTGAGATTTGTTTTACAAATCCATATAGAAGTTTTAAGAGTAGTTAATATCTCTGTATTTCATTTCTTACCTAATCTAAAAATCCATTTGAAACTAAAATCTTTGCCAGGGGCAAGGGCAGAGGAAAGGCCCCAGTTAAATAAGCTATAGGGGTGGAAGCTTCAATTCTTCGGCGCTTAGCTTTCTTTATAGTCCAACTCTCACATCCATCCATGACTACTGGAAAACCATGGCCTTGACTAGATGGACCTTTGTTGGCAAAGTAATGGCTCTGCTTTTTAATATGCTGTCTAGGTTGGTCATAACTTTTCCTCCAAGAAATAAGCATCTTTTTATTTCATGGCTGCAGTCACCATCTGCAGCGATTTTGGAGCCCAAAACAACAAACTCTGACATTGCTTCCACTGTTTCCCCATCTATTTCCCATGAGGTGATGAGACCAGATGCCATGATCTTAGTTTTCTGAATGTTGAGTTTTAAGCCAGCTTTTCCACTCTCCTCTTTCACTTTCATCAACAACAGGCTTTTTAGTTCCTCTTCACTTTCTGCCATAAGGGTGGTGTCCTCTGCATATCTGAGGTTACTGATATTTCTCCCATCAATCTTGATTCCAGCTTGTGCTTCTTCCAGCCCAGCATTTCTCATGATGTACTCTGCAGATAAGTTAAATAAGCACAGTAACAATATACAGCTTTGACGTATTTCTTTTCCTATTTGGAACCAGTCTGTTATTCTATGTCCAGTTCTAACTGTTGCTTCCTGACCTGCATACAGGTTTCTCAAGAAGCGGGGCAGGTGGTCTGGCATTACCATCTCTTTCAGAATTTTCCACAGTTTATTATGATCTACACAGTCAAAGGCTTTGGCATAGTCAATAAAGCATAAATAGATGATTTTCTGAACTCTGTTGCTTTTTTGATGATCCAATGGATGTTGGCAATTTGATCTCTGGTTCCTCTGCCTTTTCTAAAACCAGCTTGAACATCTGGAAGTTCACAGTTCACGTATTGTTGAAGCCTGACTTGGAGAATTTTGAGCGTTACTTTGCTAACATGTGAGATGAGTGCAGTTGTATGGTAGTTGAACATTTTTTGTCATTGCCTTTCTTAGGGATTGGAATGAAGACTGATTTTTTCCAGTCCTGTGGCCACTGCTGAGTTTTCCAAATTTTCTGGCAAATATGAAAGCTGAGCACTGAAGAATTGATGCTTTTAAACTGTGGTGTTAGAGAAGACTCTTGAGAGTCCCTTGGAGTGACAGGAGATCCAACCAGTCCATCCTAAAGGAGATCAGTCCTGAACATTCATTGAAAAGACTGATGCTGAAGCTGAAGCTCCAATACTTTGGCCACCTGATGTGAAGAGCTGACTCGTTTGAAAAGACCCTGATGCTGGGAAAGATTGAAGGCAGGAGGAGAGGGGGATGACAGAGGATGAGATGGTTGGATGGCATCACCAACTCGATAGACATGAGTTTGAGTAAATTCCGGGAGCTGGTGATGGACAGGGAGGCCTGGCATGCTGCAGTCCATGGGGCTGTAAAGTGTCAGACAAGACGGAGAGACTGAACTGACCTGAACTGAACTGAGGGGAGGCAGAGACTCGGGTGTTTAGACTGACATTGCAAAGTCACGTGATGACAGAGGGCTGGGGAAGCAGACAGTATGACGCGGACAGAAGAATGACAGACTGCAGCATTCTCTGCCAGCGAGGTCCTTCTTGTCTGTCTGTTGCTTTAGTTATTCTGTCATGTCTGACTCTTTGCGACCCCATGGACTGTAGCCCACCAGGCTTCTCTGTCCATGGGACTTCCCAGGCAAGAATACTGGGGTGGGTTGCCACTTCCTTCTCCAGAGGTCCTTGTATGTGTGCTAAGTTGCTTCAGTCATATCCAACTCTGTTTGACCCTAAAGACTATAGCCAGCCAGACCCCTCTGTCCATGGGATTCTCCAGGCAAGAATCTTGGAGTGTGTCGCCATGTCCTCCTCCAGGGAATCTTCCAGATGCAGGGATCGAACCTGAGTCTCTTACATCTCCTGCATCGGCGTGTGAGTCCTTTACTCTCGTGCTACGTGGGAAGTCCTACTGGAGTCCCTGAGTTCGGTTCAGTCACTCATTCGTGTCTGACTCTTTGCACCCCTATGGACTGAAGCACGTCAGGCTTCCCTGTCCATCGCCAACTCCTGGAGCTTGCTGAAACTCATGTCCATCGAGCTGATGATACCCTCCAACCATCTCATTTTCCGTCATCCCCTTCTCCTACCTCCTTTAACCTTTCCCGGCATCAGGGCTTTTTTCCAGTGAGTCAGCTCTTCACATCAGGTGGCCAAAGGATTAGAGTTTCAGCTTCAGCATCAGTCCTTCCAATGAACATTCAGGACTCATTTCCTTCAGGATGGACTGGTTTGACTTCCTTGCAGTCCAAGGGACTCTCAAGAGTTCTCCAACACTGCAGTTCAAAAGCATCAGTTCTTCAGCTCTCAGCTTTCTTTGCAGTCCAACTCTCACATCCATACATGACCTGAGGAAAAACCATAGCCTTGACTAGATGGACCTTTGTTGGCAAAATAATGTCTCTGCTTTTTAATATGCTATCTAAGTTGGTCATACCTTTTCTTTCAAGGAGCAGGTGTCTTTTAATTTCATCACTGCAGTCACTGTCTGCAGTGATTTTTGGAGAAAATAAAGTCTGTCACTGTTTCCATTGTTTCCTCATCTATTTGCCATGAAGTGATGGGACCAGATGCCATGATCTTCATTTTTTGAATATTGAGTTTTAAGCCAGTTTTTCACTGTCCTCTTTCACTTTCATCAAGAGGGTCTTTAGTTCCGCTTTGCTCTCTGCCATACTGGGGTCCTTATGCAGCCTCTATTTTGTTGTCCATGAAATTCTATCTTGCTGCAAAACACAAAGATTGAACAATTAGAGACTTCCAAAACAATAATGCTTTGACACCAACATACTCACAAGTCATCCTGGACCATGTGGCTTATTCCACCAGAAAGAAGACCCATAGCCCAGGCCGCAGACTAAACAAAACCGGATAGACGTTTCCTGCTGTACAGTGAAGTCTCAGCTCACTGGAGCACCTTTCAAAAAACATCTGCCTTTTAGGGTCAAGTGTTCTGGGCTGGAGAATAAGGTTGCACAGCCCTCATCTTTGTATATGCATGTGTGTGTATTTAATATCTTTAGTTTTCCGGCAGTACTTTTAGACAGACAGCTTTTTCATTTGGACTGCACTGGGTCTTCGTTGCAGCATGCGGGCTCAGTACTGATGTGCTGGTTTACCCTCCCCTTGGTTCATGGGATCTCGGCTCCCAGACCAGGGAGCAAACCCACGCCCCCTGCATCGGACAGGTTCTTAACCGCTGGACCACCAAAGAGATGCCTGCGTGGCCCTCATCCTTCATGGGTGAGGGTTAGTTTGGTTTCCATTCGGCCTTTAACTCTGCTTCTGCAAACTGTAGTCCTCAGGAAACTATACTAAGAATCTATCCATCTATTATCTTTCCATCCATCTATCTACCTACCTACCTACCTGCCTTTCTACTTGACTGTCTAAGATACATCTCTTTACCCTTTGGAAATACTTTGTAGAATTTAATCATGTCTTTGGAAGCATTGCACTTCTATGTTTTAAAAATTAGGAAACTCATAAGCCCAGTGTCAATCACATTCTTTAAGCACCAGTGTTACAGAGGGTTTGGCAGTATGTGAAGACCGTTATTACATTGTTCCTTCGCTCTTTGTTTTCTGGCTTGCATAACTCCAGCTCTACCCGGCACTTTCCTACTTGGCTTGTTCGTTTCTCCTGCTCACTGAGACACTTGTATTTACAAGAGCACTGTGTTTTTTGGTATACAGCTTAAGGAATTCAGCTCAGGAGACATGCATTCAGCATGTGCC